AGAATATATATATATATATATATATATATATATATATAGAGGGAACGGATGGTTTGTGTGATGGTATTTTTTAAAAAATATTTTCTACTTGAATTTTTTTTTCAAGTGTGGTTAGGTACATGAATATTTTCACACAGCTTAGATGCCAATTGTGTGAAAAGATGCATTGGGATCAAAAAATACTCCTGCAGCTAATTATATGAAGGAATTTTTTATATGAATATATTTTTCAAAAATTATTTTCACACCAACCAAACGTGCTAAAATAAGCATAGGCAAAGAGACTATAGTTTAAAGTAACCATAGCCTAAGACACTATAGTCTAGCACGGGCCAGGTCATCCCTGGCCCGGCTCTCATCCCTAGGCCAAGTGCGAAGAATAAAAAAATAAATAAAAATATAAAAAACCTATATGGGCCAAATAAAAGAAAAATATAAAAAAATTAGGAGTGATTTATGTATAGACCCAAAATACGAAACTGTTTCGCTTGTAGGTAGAAATCACAAAGAAGGTCAATCAACCCGTTCTCTTTACTTTATGAAAATTACCTCTCGGCCAACCCAATTTTGATTTTTTTTTTAGTTTTTCCGTTAGTAGGGCAGTGCCCTAAGCTTTAAGGCACTTCCCTACTAACGAATAAAAAAAACATCAAAATTCAAATTAACCTAGGTCCAATATTGGAAAAAAAAAAAAAACAAAACAAAAATTGACTAACGTTCCTTGTAATTTTAAAATCTGTACGTAAATCACTCAAGAATTGAAATATCGGGCCAAGCCACCTAAAAAAAGCCACCCCAAAATGAACGGGGATATGCATGGAGACTTAGTCCCTTGTTTGTACTACAATTAGGTTAGGGGATTGAGAGTGGGGAGGATGAGAGCAATCTAAAGAAGATGACTCATCGACCGTTTGGAGGTTGATATTTTGACTCTTTCTTTTTCCATAAAAAGTTATTTCTAGAAACATTTTATTGTTTAAAATTTTTATTCGGTAATTAAGTGGAGATCACAGGCACTATCCATTAAATTGGAAAAAGTTTATATAGAGCCAAGGCACTAAATAATCAACGTAGAGCCCACCTCAAATATTTCATTAGAAGAAGTTGTTTTGATGCCTAAATATCCTTGAATTGCTTATCTCGACATCAAGATGCATGTACATGAGAGAAAAAAATAGATTTCAAGTTTTGGAAATAGTGCATCTTGTAAAACAATTTTGGACCATCAATTTTCAAGATTCTCAAGTTTTCATAGATTTGCTCGAGCTACACTATTTTGAAGCTTTAAATTTTATAATTAAATATGAAAATATATATTAAGGTTATCATAAAGATTTTTCAGTATTGAAACAACATTTCTTGACACTATCTGAAGGTGTGCTTTACTTTGATTGTTTAGAGCCTCAGCTCTATACAAACCACACCCTTTTAAATTAGTCAGTGATTATTTCTAAAAATGATTTGGTAAATGTTGATATTGATTAGAAATTAATGATATTTTATACGGGTATCCAAAGCACAGAGCGGATTAGAATGTCCAGTCTTTGAGCCGTATCAAATCTTACAACTGGAGTAAAACATGCTAAAAAGAGGTGTATCCAACCTCATATTACGCCATAAAATATACCAAAACTATTTCGTGAGGACAAACATATCAATTTTGTTGTAATGACAAAGATATGTCATAGATAGCATTGACGCAAGTAATTATCATCCGCTATTGGGTCGTTTGTATTCCTCTCTTGCAAACACAGGATTTGAATAGTAATGATTAATATAAATTAATTCTTATTTATCATAAAAATATTATTGATATTTTTGTTGTTATGAATAATAATAATAATAATAATAATAATAATAATAATAATAATTTATTTTTATTTTTATTTTTTGTTACTAATATCTTCATATTTTTTTAATTCATAAGACAAGAGAATATCTACCCATACCAAACCATCATGTGAGATGGGGTCCTTTTTGTTTTCTCAAACAACGTCTTCAACAAAAAAAAAGGAATCCTATTGGTGCCCAATGGGAAAGTGATTTCCTAAACTGCCCAAACAATCCCATTGATGTACCTCCCAATGGAGGTATTTATTCTTGAAAGAAGAGCATGACCAACTTCTAAGCAATGTCTATTCTTTCTATTAGCCACACTATTTTCTTGTGGTGTGTAAGAATACGAAGGTTGATGTCACCATGTTATTCCAAACAGGACATCAACACCATGTTCTTCCAAATATATCAACTCCATATTTCAATACTCTCTCCAGTCAATGAAACATTACGAGCATTAAACTGACCTGGACAATTGAATTTAGCAGCCCGACCACCTACATCCCAACAAGTTTCATTATTATAATCACATTTTATCTCACTTTTATCTCCTAGATTAGGCACCCCCTTTCCAAATTTCCAAGATCCACCTCACTGTTTTAGGAGGTTATGAAGCTGCAGCAAGCACCAATTGATCAACTACTTGAGCAAGTAGCATGACACTTGAAGAGAGAAAACACCGATGTTAGTATGACACACTTGCACTTCATCTCAAGAGATGAATTATCACATCGACGTATATTATCTTTGGAAGAACTCTTAGATGAAAATAATTAGAAATTAATTAATTCATCGGTATTGGAGATACAAGTAAGCCAAAATCTAAGCATTTATTTAATGGTTCTAGATTCATTCCTGATAGAAATAGTTTATAGTCGACCATGTATTCATCGTAAAATCCAAAATCAGATGCTATCTAAATTGGATTTTTGCTACCACTTTTTTTATAATTTTACTAAGTGGCACTTTGGTGTGCTTCTTAAAGCATAAATCTGAAGTATGTGATGCTCTTACCATTTACCATAAGATAAATAAAAGCCAATTGAAACTTAATTGAAGTTATTTGCACAAACTACATGCAAGGAATTTCTCACTATTAATTGCAGGATCCAACAGAATACTTGTCAATATAACCCCTGAACAAAATGACAGGCAGAGCATAAGAAGTCAATATATAACTACTCATACATTATTTCTTTTGTTCAATGTCTCATCTTAACGTAAGCTTATCTGAGTAAGGAGTCGAATTGTTCCATTGTTACATAAGTCTTGTTGATTATTTAACTAGGTCATCTCCTGACAGCGCCCTGCATGTTCCATTCATCCATTCATCCAACATTATACCAAACAGTAGGCTTTTTCAAAGCACAGATATGATGGAGATAAATGCAGATGTTATAGGATGAAGTGAGATTCTTCATTGAGAATAGTTTCTCGTCAGTTGTAATTAGGAGAAAATTCAGCTTTAAGTTATTTCTCCTTCTACATTTGGAATTAAAATCTCCCAATCATGCCAAAAATGGTTATTATTCTTTATTTTCTGGTAATAAAGGTTTATCCATGGCTAAATATATATGGATGTATGTAGTTATGTATCATCATCATCTCCGAGCCTTATCCCAATTATTTGGGGTCAGCAATGTAGTTATGTATGCATCATCATTTGAATTTCGATCAAGTGATCTCCTTACTTGAGGATGGTTCCCCATTCGGTCACAATTCAAATCATATTCAGCTTTAAATTGTTATATTCTCTTATAGACACATTTAGATCTATAAGTTTTTGAATTGAGATGACAAATAGGCACCGCTCCCTATTTACTCGTTAACACAGTTCAATCAATTAATTAAAGCATTACGCCAAGCTCAAGTGCTGGACTGCAATCATGTGTCAAATCAGATACACATCTCTCTCAGCTATTAATTTCTGAAAATCTACAATTTAGTATGTATAGGCATATATCATAGTCGAGTTCAAGCATTAAACAGGTGAATCGTAATTGATATGGCAAAGAAAAGTCTCCCAAACTGCAGAATATAAAGCACACATATAAATAACTACATGTGTTGCACCCCAGTTTGGTGTGGTGGGAAGGTTCCACAAGCACAGGTATAAAAAAAAGGAATGAAAATTCTACCCGAGTATTCATAAAAGTGAATATAAACCTTAAAATTCAGGTTGTCCTCAGATTCTCAAGTTCATCCAGATCCAAACTGCTCGTTAACTCAAAAAACTCAGCGCACTAAAGCATCAGAAGTAAGAAAAGAGAAAATTTCCTCTAATTCACCAGATAATTCATAGTATTTTCCTTAATTCACTATGATCAACAACAAATACTTGTTTGATTCATATATTTATACTTCATAACATACATCAATCCGTTGCTTAGAACCAAATTTAGACAAAATCTTCAAGAAACCAAATTCAGGAAATGCTTCCCAACTTGAATAAGATCAAGTGAACCAATTTTAAGAAAAAAATCTCCAAATTAAGCACAAAAGGTTCCCACCATTGGGAAGATCATTCACATGATAAGCAGTTTTGTGGAAATGTTACCTTGGCGGATAAAGCCCTAAATTTGAGGGGAGATGTCTGAAATGGATATGAATGTAGGGTTTTCAACCACGGCCTCGCACTAGAAAATAGGAAGGAGATCATATACGTCAGTCTTTCACGCCACCGGTTCCATTGCTCGCCATATTCTTGTAGTCGTACAGAAGCCACCAACTTTGATTTAAAAAAAACATTCTTTCAGTCAAAGCAGAGAAGGTCAAAAGCAACCAAGTTTGATTTTATAAAACGATTTAAAATTGCAGTGCGCCTATAAGTTAGTCTAGCGGGATCACACTATAAAGTTGCTCCCTTAGACAGTAGGCGCTATTGAAAAGGCATACTCCATTGGTCCTTGAACCATTTACTTTTGATATAAGGTGGTCAAATTTAATCATGGTTATTGGATCGCAAATTAGATAATGCATTTGTTCCATTGACCCAAAAAAAAATTTGAACTTCGTGATAGACCCATACTCTCAATTCCGTATCGGATGGTTACGAGTAATTGTAACTTCTTTGTACCAAAGATAAATGGTCTCACCGTATATAATAAAACGATTTAAAGTTGCAGTGAGACTATAGGTTAGTCTAGCGGGATCACATTATACAGTTGCTCCCTTAGACCGTAGGCGCTATTGAAAAGACATACTCGATTGGTCCTTGGATCATTTACCTTTGGTATAAGGTGGTCAAATTTAATTATGGTTACTGGATCTCAAGTTAGATGCTGCATTTGTTCCCTTGACCCAAAAAAAAATTTGAACTTTGTGATAGACCGAGACTCTCAATTCCGTATTGGATGGTTATGAGTAATTGTAACTTCTTTGTACCAAAGATTAATGGTCTCACTGTATACAATACACTTTTCAATTCTTCGTCGATCAAATATGTGCATTTTGATTGATGACCGATCATAAAGGACCATCTAACCATCTCAATTTGAGACAAACTCTGAGACATATATTCCCAAGGCCATGAGACGACTCTCTACATGATATTAGAAGAGATTGACGTAGTACGATATGTTTTTTGAATCTGTTGTCCTCCAAAAGAGGAAAGTTTGACAGACGAAGCATAAGAAAACCGCACCATGTGACATCACAATGAGGTGTATTCTTGTTGATATATTCCATGAGGCCTTATATGCTTCTAGTCCAAGAATCATTCAAGTTGGATATCATTCGGCCCACCGGCCCGAGTCATCAACGATCAACAACCACAAGAATGATATTTTGGGGATTGGCCCGAAACTCTTGAGAATAATATTTGAGACATTATATTCCTCATCCCGAAGTTTTAGGTCGTTTGGAGATGGCTTAAACCATCATTCGTATCCATTGGCGGTCAAGATATAACTTGACCCACAACCTCGAACTTCATATTTTGGGGATTGGTCCAAAAATTTCGAGAAACCATATTTGAGACGTTATCATCCCAAAGTTTTGGATCATTTGGAGATGGCTTAACCTATCATATGTATTTATTGGTAGTCAAACTTTTATGCGTCGTTTGTCAAATAGATAGCCAGGATGATATCCGATTACTAAAATTGAGATTTCTATCAATCTATTGAGAATTTTCTCATAGGACCTAGACCATTGGATTCCTTATTCGATACCCTATCATTACTGGAAGTGCGACATCATATCAATCTCTTAAGAGAAAGCAAGCTCTGCAACAAAAGTCATAAAAACTGTACACGAATTTGACTGTAGCTTGATGATTTCTCCCCAGAAGGAGAATCTTGAACCCAATTTTTTTGAAAATGTGTCGTAGTCCCCAACAGTAATTTGCAGCATGAATGAGTGCAAGATTTGCTGCAAGATAAACATGGATAAAACTAGGCTTATGGGGATCAACTGTGACTTGCAACTGTTATCCCAGTAGGCCTTTTGGATGGGTTGCTCGGTAGATCAACTACCGACCGAATACTTGGGAATGCCTACACTAGACTCCAAGCTAGGGAGACAAATATTGAATCCGATGCTAGTATGGTTTCACTACAAACTAGATTCATGGAAGACAAGATACATGTCCCTGGTGGACGCATAAGTCTAATCAAAGCCATTCTTTCTAGGGCTGAGAATATTCCGGATCGGCCAGATCCGGTTCTGCATCCGGATATGAATTTGAGTATAAGATCCGAATCCGAATCTATATCCCAATTTACTTCCATACGAAACTGATTTTATTGGGGTCGTAAGGGAATAGAAGCTAGAGTAAAATGCATCATAATCCCAAAGAATAAATAAATGGGTTTCTCATAAATGCATATAATAGTAAACAAAATAAACAAATATATAGGAGAAGGCTATTCACTAAAAAAACAAGAATCCAACCATTTAAAAAAGGGGAAATATCCTCGTACCCCTTATTTTTTGTTTTCATATCTCAATAGACTCAAATATTCATAATATATCTCCTAACCCCTTGACTAACTTTACACAGTTTTAACTATTTTTTAGCCTTAATAAATATAAAAAAGACATGCTCATTCTAAATCTTTCCTCTCTTTGCAAAATATATTCCAGCAAATTTCTATCTCTTTGTCTTTTTAATGGGGAGAGAGAGAGTGAGAGATATACGGGGAGAGAGAGTAGGACAACAGATGGAGAGAGAGAGATTTAGGAGAAAATCACATGAAGAGAGAAATGATTGTCTTTAAAAAGGATGTGTCTTTCTTATATTTATTTGGGGCAAAAAAATAGGTTTAAAGGGGATAAAGTTAGCTTAAGAGGTTAAAAGATATAAAACTTAGAATTTTTATGACCCAATATATGTTTTGAATCCTTGAGTCTATCGAGATATAAAACTTAAAAATGGAGATATAGATATATTTTCTTTTTAACAAAATGAAAAAATAAAAGAAAAGAATAAGAAGAGAGAGAGAAAGAGAGAGAGTTCTAAGAAAAGGAACTTGTTAACCAATTTACAAGCCCATGTCACAAACAATACGAAGACCTACAAAAATTGCAAATCTATTTTCTCCATAAATAATTTTTAAAAGAAACAAACTCTAGAATTGTGGGTTTAGAGGGAGATGGAATGGAGGGAGAGGTGAGATAAACCCTAATTTTTTATAGTCAACAATGTTTGAACTTTCACAGAAAGAAGAGGGTAGCGAATATCCATATCCATTGTTGTTCTGTTGGGGTGACATGGCAGACGAGGTTTAAGTTGATGGAACGGTTACAAAAAATGATCAACAAGCATACGAGGAAGATAGAAGTAACAACAAAACTAGTTGAAAACGGTGAATCCACAAAAAGGCTTAGAGAATAGGTATCTGATTTGCTCAGTAAGATCAAAACCCTAGAATTTGGGAACAAAGGCCAATGGAAAATGATCGCAAGCCTCCGAGAAGCAGAGGGAGCAGTGAAGGGGAGATTGGAGGAGCTGCAGAGAGAGATGAATTGATCTTTGAAGGCTTCAAAGTTCATCGAAGAGGAAAGCAACAGGGCTACTATGACAAAGTTTATGTTCTGAAGAGAGTAAGCGTATTAAAATTTTAGAGAGAAAACTATATCAAATTTTAGAGAGAGTACATAAAGTTTTTTAAAGAGAGAAACCATCTCATATTTAAAGTTTTAGATAGATGGCATCTTAAATTTTAAAAGGAGCAACTATATCAAATTTTAGAGAAAATACTTGAAAAGATACTATCTCAATTTTTTTTAGAGGGAGTAACTATATCAAAATTTATGTTTTAGAGAGAGAAAACATATTAAAATTTTAGAAATAGAAACTATAATAAATTTTAGAGAAAGTACTTAGAAAGATAAAAACTATCTCAACTTTTTAAGAGGGATAAACTTTTGCAAAATGTTTATATAGAGCCGAGGCTCTAAACAATCAAATTAGAACCCACCTCAAAAATTCCACTAGATGAGGTCGTTTTGATGTTCAAATATCCTCAAGTTGATCTTCTCGACATCAAGATGCACAAACATGAGAAAGCAAGAAATGGATTTCAAGTTTTGGAAATAGTGCATCTTGTAATATATTTTTTTACCGCCAGTTTTCAAGATTTTCAAGTTTTTATAGATCTACACTATTTTTTAAGTTTTAAATTTTATAATTAAAAATGAAAATATATTTCAAGGCCATCAATTTTCAAGATTTTCAAGTTTTCATAGATCTACTAGATCTACACTATTTTTTAAATTTCAAATTTTATAATTCGAGATGAAAATATATTTTAAGGCTATCTCAAAGATTTCGAGTATTGAAACCACATTCTCGACTCTATTTGTGGCTGGGCTTTACTATGATTATTTAGAGCCTCAGCTTTATAAAAACCGCACACTTGTTAAGTTTTACAAAGAGCAAGTATATTAAAATTTTAGATATAGAGACTATATCAAGATTTAGAGAGTGAAAAACTCTCTCAAAGTTTTTAAAGAGAGAGCTTGTCTCAAATTTTTAGTTTTAGAGTGATAAGCTATATCAAATTATAGAGAGAAAGTACCTAAAATTTTTAGAGAGATAAATTGTAATAAATTTTAGAGAAAGCACCTAAAAACTTTAAGATAGAAACCATCTCAAAAATTTTGAAGAGAAAAACTATCTCAAATCTTAAGTTTTAGAGAGAGAAAATATTTTTAGAATTTTAGAGAGCTAAACAATATTAAATCTTAGAAACAGAAACTGCCAAACAAAATTTAGAGAGTGATATCTCAAATTCTATAGATAAAAAACTATCTCAAATCTTAGGTTTAGAGAGAGGGAGTGTATTAAAATTTTAGAGATAGAAATTATATTACATTTTAGAGAGAAACTATCTATAAATTTATAAAGAGAAACTATCTCAAAATTTTTAGATAGAGAAACTAGCTCAAATTTTATATTTTGCAGTAAGAAAGTATCTTAAAATTTTCGATCGAGAAAGTACCTAAAATTATTAAAGAGATGGAAACTATCTTAAATTCAAAATTTTTAGAGAGATAAACTATGTCAAATTTTAGGTTTTAGATAGAGAAAATATATTAAAATTTTAGAGAGAGAAATTATATCAAATTTTAAAGAGAAAAGCTATCATAAATTTTAATTTTAGATAGAGAAAGCATCTTAAACCTTTAAAGAGAATACCTATATCAAATTTTAGAGAGAAAGTACCTAAAAACTTTTAGAGAGAAAAACTATCTCAAATATTTTGAAGAGTGATTATTTCAAATTTAAATTATAGAGAGTGAAAGTATCTTAAAATTTTAAAGAGAGAAACTATATAATATTTTAGAGAGAGAAACTACCTAACAATTTTAAAGAGAGAAACTATCTTAAAATTATTAGAGAAAAAAATTATCTCAACTTTTAAGTTTTAGAGAGAGAAAGCATCTTAAAATTTTAGAAAGAGAAACTATATTAAATTTTAGAAAGAAAAAGTACCACAATTTTTAGAGAGAGAAACTATATCAAAATTTTCGGAGAAACAATTTCAAATTTTAAGTTTTGGAGAGAAAGTATATTAAAAATTTGAAGAGAAACTATCCCAAAATTTTGAAAGAGAGGGAGAGAATCGCAAATTTTGAGTTTTAGAGAGAAAATATATTAAAATTATAGAGAGAAATTGTATCAAATTTTGTTACCAAACAATTAACATGGAAATGATGATAATCAATGAATTTTTAACTGTATATCCAAACATATTCCATATATTTTATTGAACTCCAAATATCCAAGATTCCTAATTTCCTCCTATCCAACTGGGCCCTTATTTTAACTTGGCCTTTCTTTTTCTAAATAAAAAAAAATTAAAAAATTAAAAAAAGAAGAAGAGAAAGGTTAACCCTATTCATTAAAATATGAAACTGCCAATTTTACATCAAAATGAATTATGCGAATCGAACAAAATTGCATCTTGGCCATGGCAGTTTTGGAGATCATCACTCTTGGCAATAGATTGAAGATATCTGTCACTCTATATTGAAGTATCTAAGCCTGCATAAATGAAATTGTAAAATCAATTAGAACTCTTAAATATATGGACTTTCAAAACCGAGAAGAAACAATCCTAGCTTATTCAGTTTTTAATGAAGAAGCAAAAAGTCATCAATCTTCATAATATTATACAAAGAACTACAAAAGAAAAAAAAACGAACAAAAAGAACAAAAAAAAACGAATAAAAAGCATAGAAATATAGGAATCGAGCTTGGATCAAAAGGGTAGCAGCTGGGTTTTTATAGCACTTTGTCTCAAGTTCCTTTCGTTTGTGAAAAAAAAAGTTATAAATAACTTTACATGCTTTGAAATTTTAACTTTAAGAAAAATGCTTCATCTCATGAAAACCAGTGAGTGATAAAATTCACCACCACCTTCCATATCTAAACCTAACATTCTTGCTCAAAATCCAAATTCTTTTCAATGTTTTTCACCCCCCTCAATTCTCTTTTTTGGGTCTAAGGAGTTTACACGAAAGAGAGAGAGTGGGGGAATGCAATTTCAAAGTTGTGCAGGCCACTTCATATGGGCAAAGCCCTAAACAATCAAATTAAGGCGCAAAAAATTCAAATTCACTAGAAGTGGTTGCTTTGTTGTTGAAAAGCCATCAAATCGATCATCTCAACCTTGAGATGTATAGAGATGAAAAACATAGATTTCAAATTGTTTGGGAAATACAGCATTTTGTAATGCATTATTTGGGCATCAATTTCAATATTTTTAAGTATTTATAGATCCACTCTATACTATTTTTGAAGCTTTAAATTTTATAATTACATTTAAAAATAAATTTTCAGATCATCACAAAGATTTTAAGTACTAAAGAATCATCTTTAGTGACACGACATACTTTGATTGTTTTGGGCCTCAACCTTATATAAACCCAACACCCCTCCCCCCCAACCCACACACACACACACAATATATATATATATATATATATGAAAAAGTATATATAAGTTGTGACCCCAAATAATCAAATTATTGTTGTAGAGGTTGTTTTGATAAGTAATCCTCAAATCGACCTCTATAGAGGTGAAAAACATGGATTGTAAATATGGGAAAGGTGCATCTTCCAAATCTTTCATGAAAATTTTGAAATTCATAATTAATTGAAAGATACATATACCAAAAAAATAAATAAAAAGAGTATCAAAATAGTGTATGAAAATTGAACTGGAACGATCAACCGGATATAGGCCTGAAACTGGTTCAACCGGCCTAACTCGTAAACCGGCCGGTTCAACCGTTCTTACCGAGCAAGTCTCAATGAAGTTGGAAATTAATGAAAAAATCTAAAAATCTAGAAAGTAATTTAAATAATAATTAAACAAAGTACATCCAAATGAAGTTGAAAAATAATGAAAAAATGGATTTTAAAGAATTGATATGTGCTCAGGGCTATTTTTGAAAATTTTCATAAAAAGTGGGGAATGTAAAAATAAGTATTAATAGCCAAAACAATTTCCAATATTTGTCATATTGATGAAAAACATTAAAAAAAATACATTACAAACAAAATTTTTGATATTTAGGATTTTATATAATCGTTTTTAAAAAAATACGAAGCTAGTCATCAAAACCGGCCGGTTCCGATCTAACCGGGTGGCTACTGGTTAGACCACCCAATTTTTTCTTCAATACTACCAAATCACACTCATTTTCGATAGGGGCTAGCCCGAAAATACATACATGGGACCCGGACCCGGACCCGGACCCAAAGTTTATTTCAAGGACCCAACCTGATGGGTTATACATAAAGAAAACAAAAAATTAGCTAAAAATTTAAAATTACCGAATAATATATGCCTAAAATTACCAAAAACATAGGGCCAAAATTACATAAAAATATGGTAGGGATTAAAAATTTTAAAAAATTAAACAAGTATACCTATTAGTATATATAACCTATATTAATTTATATATAAAAATATTTTATAACATATTAGAATAACTGAATCGATTCCACCAATACCCGAACCCGACCCAATTTACTATTTGGGTCCAAGATTTGGACTCGAGCCCGACCCACCAAGTCCAAATCTTGGACATATACTTGGATCCTAACTGAATCGGGTCGGGCTAAATTCCCGAGCCCTAGTTGTCCATAAAATATTAGTATTTATACATTTTCTTCAAAATTATATTATTTTAGAAAATTATTACATGTGATAATAACATCAAGCATCAAATAAAAAATACAAAATTTGCATTAGTTCAAAATTTTAAAAATAACAAATAAAATTTTTGGAACACGAAATTTATTAACAGTTATAAGATGTCATATCAGGTACTGTAACGAAAATAATTCTCGCAATAATCTTGTAAACCAAACAAAAGTGTAGAGTAGGTGATTGTGAATCTCAAATAAAATAATTGCATACCTTCAAGTGGCAAGGTTTTTCTATTACAATCTCACTCTAAATCTTGTTATAGCACATGAAGTAGTAGCATTTGAAATTTTGATGAAAACCAGCAAGAGTAACTAAACAAAGATAATATATCGAGAACAAAAAAAATGATAAAAAATTAAATAAAAGTAAAAAATTAAATAGAAAATATATAAGAAAATATATTCAAATAATATAAAATAAAAAAATAATGAAATAAATAAAAAATATTAATGGAGGATGTTAAAAGCGATAGTTAAACCCTATGTAAATCTACTCTACATATATGAGTGATCGGAGATGCTTTCTCTCTAGAATTCTTACATTCTCATCTCCATTCATGCTTCACAATTCAAATATTTCATTCTTCCATTTCAAATATAATGAAAGGCAATGCTACTTGCCTCATAAGTTTAATATATTATCCAAAAACGAAAATTATTTTATTCCCTTGGATGACCCAATTGGAAATTTTTGAAAAACTTTTCTTAAATTTGCTCTTTGCGTAGGTATTTTTCTGGCTCTAACTTGTATTCTTCCTGAGAATTTTAATATATTCAATGATATACATAAGATAAAAAAATATGCCATCTTTATTTGAAATTAAAAGGAACTCCTAGATGTTCACCTAGACAAATCTTCAGTAATATCTCTCCATCTCCTTATCATTTCCTTATCATACGTACTTCTCTCTTCTTATCATACGTGCTTTTCTTTCCCTTAAGTTTATTTATTTCCTTGATTTTCATTCTATTTTTTTTTCACTCTCTCTACCCATGTACTTTATCTTCATGACTATCTCCCTCAAAGATAGAGATTAGGCACTTGGGGTTTTGCTCTTTCTTCTTCCCTAAAAATGAAAAGCTATCTATCCCAGTGAATCTCTCTCTCAATTCCCTCTCCACGTACACACTCTCTTTCTTCTTTTAAATATGGTAAGCATCTTTTTTTCTCTCTTAAATATTATTTTTTAATATTAAAATATGTACATACTCTATTTTTCTCTCCCCCAAAATATGTGCATAATATGTTTCAACTATGAGACAAAATATGTGCATAATATGTTTCAAATATGCGACAAAATATGTGCATAACTTGTTTCAAATATGAGAATGTGTCTTACCATCTCTATATATATAATTAGAGCCCTTTTTATCTTCTTGATATGTATTATTTTTTAATATTAAAATAAGTGCATACTCTCTCTTTCTATCCCCCAAAATATATGCATAATATGTTTCAAATATGAGACAAAATATGAGCATAATATGTTTCAAATATGAGAATGTGTCCTACCATCTCTATATAAGTAGGGCCCTTTTTATTTTCGTGATATGTGTACCCTGACTTAAAAATGTAGTATAGATAAAAAAGAAAAAAGAAAATATGGAACAAATTTTTGGCTATTAGATATGGCTTCGTGAAATCTCAACCATTGAAAGGGTGCTTATGCACCTTCCACCTATCCATATTATGTGAATGGGATACTTTCACTTATTATAAATGAAAAGTAAATATATCGTAATATATATAATTCTTTAAAGTAATTATTAAATTATAAGTAATATACGACAGAAAAATATATTCCCCTCGTAATATTATTATTTATAATAAATATTTATCTAAAAAAATATTAATTGATTGCTATTTTAATAATAAATATTTTAAATAATAATAATAAATAATAAGATTGCATGATATAAGAATATCATTATCATAATAATTAAATAATATAATATCGTAATATTAATATATATAAATATGGTGGCAATAAATCATGAGTTTCATGGTGACACGAATAGTAATAGCTAATGATTCAAAACCCGGATGGGTGGGGTGGATCGTCCACCCCAACTAATACAGCGGATTGCTGATTTGGATCATTATTATTACTCTAAAAACTAATGTTTCAAAACCTGGATGGGTGGGGTTGATCGTCCACCCCAACTATTTTTATGGCTTTTGGTAACATGAAATCTTTTTAGACGATTAATTTGCTCTCATCTATTTCATTAATTATTGTGCTCTATCTATACTTATTAGATATTCTTTTATTTTAAATTGAAATCAAATTTATATGGCCTTTTTTTGTTTAACGAATTTTAAACACGTGCAAAAATCACTTATATTCAACCAATTAAATATATATTTTTGTCCCTTTTTAGGTTGTAAAACATCAATATTTTGTAAGATTCTTCATAACACAATTAGTTTTTTTTTTCGTAAATAAATGGTGAATCAGTCTTTAAATTTTTACCTATCCATAACACAATTAGCTGTTTTTTTTTTTTTGGGTAAGTAAATAGTGAATTAGTCTTTTAATTTTTACCTATCCAACTTATTTCCTGACATGTATATTTGTAAGCACCTTGTAAAACATATTTAATTTCCTAACTCTGTATGCCAAATTTTTTGCACAGCTTACTATAGTCCATCTAACCCCATATAAGTTCCTTATCCTTCCCTTACTTCCTAGCGTCAATCCAGTCTCTTTTCCTTACTTCTTCCATGCAATCTCTTTCCATCAGTTCCAAGTATCTATCCAAGCACCCTATATTCATTCTACTTTAAAATAACCTCCTATAATCTCTATGCCAACTCTTTTCCACACTCCACCTTCCTAAACTCATCTCAACCGCTATTCAGAAAACATGTAAGTAGGCTCGGCCTGGCCCAAGGCCCAAACATATTAGCATGTAAGTTAGGGGGCCCTTGCCTAAGCCCAAAAATAAAATTTTGGGCCAGACCAAAATCTTACGTATGAGACTTGAACTCAAAAATCAGGCCGGGCCGAGTTAGGCCTCCTATAAATGTAGAAAAAAATTTATTTTAAAAGCTTATGAAAAATTTTGGGCCAGGTTCGGGCTAGCCTAGTCCTCGCACAAAAATACATCATGCCTACCAAATCCGAGACCCCAAAAATTTAAAATTTTAAGTACAAGTTTTTATACGTTAAAATTAATTTATGAATTTTATATTTTTTTAGCAATTTTATTTATAGACGTGCAGTTTTGATGCTTCCAAAAATATGTGATTTTTTTAACAAATTTTTAAATTCTTGAAATTAATTATTTCACTTTTACATAGAACAATTGAAAGTCATCTCTATATTACATGGAACTTTTAATTGTGATGATACCACTTGTTGTGCTCTGATACCACTTGTTCAGATGTCAATATCCATTGGATAGTTTTATGAATTCTTCATCTTTTGCCAAATAAATTTATTCATCATTTTTGTTGAAAAATAGTATTTGTCATCAAATTTCTCCACCTCGAACTTTGCATTCGAAAACTATATTCCTTTACCGACAACCTTAAACCAAGGGTCTGATACTACTTGTTGTGCTTTGATACCACTTGCTCTGATGCCAATATCAATTGCCAAATAAATTTATTCATCCGGGTACACATTTTCATGCTCTAAAAGTGATTTTGAGTGTTTAAAGTTTTTAATTTTAATTCTTGAATTATTTGAATATTTTAATAGTTTTTTTATTTTTTTCATAAGCTTTAAATGCTTTTAAACTATGGCTGACACTTCTTCAACTTGGTTGATAAAAAATTATATTTACTTCTTTACTTTGAAATTGTTAAATATCTTTATACTTTTTATTGTTCTTCTTTTCTCAAAATCATGTATATCTAGTTTTAAGATTTTTTAAATATAATTTCAAATATTTTGATCAAATAATGCCAACCCATATTAGCTTTAGTATGAATCCCTTCTATTAATGATATAGGAACTCTCCTTTCTTGTTTTAATTGCCTAAAGTTCTTCATTAATTATTTTTCGTTTTCTTTTTCCCATTTCCCATTTTTTCCTACAGTTGCTTTTCAGTCAAATTTTCCTTTACATAGTTTATTCCCTCCAAAAAAAAAGATGTTGTTTTGCTTTATTTACTTTTGAGGCTTTATGAACTTTTTTTATTATTTTATCCCAATTTTCTAGAAGTTTCTAACATTAATCTTTCAAAGAAATCATCTATTCATTTTCATTCTTTTGAAATTTATTTATTGAAATTATATTCATATTTTGAATTACATAAACTTTCAAATATTTTGATACTTGCATGCCTGTTTTTTGGCAGATACCATGGGGAATAATTTTAATATAAATCGAAAAGTTTCCTTTATTTGACGAAAATTAGAAAAATGTAATAATTCACGATTTGATGCAAACTAGAAAGGGAAATTATAAATACTTTAATAATTGTGAAATCCTTAACTCTTACAATTATTACAAAAAGGTGACAATCATGCTTTTGAGGTGTGCCCGTGCAAATTTGTTTTTTGGCTTACTACATATATAAAATCTTATCTTGAAGAGTGAAGATTTTTAATAAAAAAACAAGGTATATGGCCCTAGCCGGGCCTTATTGGTCAGGCCCGGCTTTATTGGGCCAGCCGAAAGCATTTTTGGGCCCGGTGTTTCCAGGCCGGCCCATTAAAGGACCGGCCTGATAAGCAGCATGTTCACATCAGCTCACCTGGTAGAGGCCCATAACCAAGCCCGTTAGCGGCCCATAACCAGGCCAGGCATGCAAGCCCGGATCGTGGCCCGGTTCATTAACTGTCCGTACTAAAAAAAGTAAATGCTCTCTATGTATAGATATCGATTCTAATCCTTGGCTAGATTTATGCTGCCAATTTGAAGAGGGCCAACAAATGCTATCAGAAGAGATGGGGTCGGATGAAAAAGTCAAATGCACGACCACACTGTTCTGGTCTCAAACCATATAAGCAGCAAAGAAGCATACACCCCAACAGAACAAATAACAAAAGAAGCATACACCCCAACAGAACAAATAACAAATGAACAAAACTCCACAGAGGGAAACTACTCTGCCAAATTCTCATTAATTTGAGAAAGTGTGCATATGATATCATAAATTCTTCTGCACAATGGTTAAAATATGATTCCTATCGTTCAATGCAAGGACAGAGAGACCGAGAGGGAAAGTATTCAAAGCGACAATTTACTTTTAATAAAATAAGGTGGTTATGAGCATGTTATTGAATACTTTTTACGAGAAAACAAAAAAAGAGCATACCTCTGTTCTTCAGATTCGAACGCTTCGGAGGCCCAAGCAGAACAAGTATGAGGAATTTTATATTGTTCTTCAGATTCGGAGGCCCAAGCAGAACAAGTATGAGGAATTTTATAGTCAGATTCGGAGGCCCAAGAAGAATAAGTATGAGTAATTTTATAGTTATGAGGAGTTCTATAGCTGGGTATGGGAACCTTATCAGAATCGATCGACTGTATGTCCTGAACAAGTGCATCATAATGTTTTTTCATCTCCTCAGGGCTCTTTTTTCCTCCAACCATGACTGCTACCTTCTTCCATCGCTCAGGCAATTCGGTTTCGTTTAGAACCGCCACCAAAGCTATCTCAAAGGCCTTGTTCTCTGCAGAGCTCCAACTTGACTCCATTGGTGATTCTGATTCATAGCTGCATCTTGATTCCATTGGTGATTCAACTAATCTTGATTTCATTGGTGATTCAACTATGCTTGATTTCATTGGTGATTCAGATATTCTTGATTCCACTGGTGATTCAAATATAGGCTTGCTGCCGCCTCAACCCAATCCCCCACTCAAATCTCAATCTCAAAACCAAAACCCACGAACAAATTTTTTAATTTACCTTTGGAGAGAGAGATG